CCTACACAGATGACAGCAAGGAAATGAGTGGCTACTCAAGTCCCAATATGACCATTTTTAGCAAGCCGCTAACCAGACTGAGAGTCGAAGATCAAAATGAATTTTTTATGAGATAGCCACAAAATTTGGTTAACCCCAACCCTTCCCTATTTTATCCTGATCCCCAAATGATTTTGAACAGGCGATAAAATACATGCCCATGCCCCTTTTCCCCCGGGGCCCAGACTCAGGGAACTTCGTGTTCATCAAAAAACTGCCGGGAAACCCCCTAGCACGACCCTTTTTTTCCAAGGAGAGGGAGAAAGGCCCCGGGGGGGAGTCCCCCACATTTTACTAAAAACAAAAACCGACATACCCCCACTCCACAAAGGGGCCTTTAAAGCAACAGCAAAAAAACTACAGACCGATAGAAACTAAAAACCCATATCATAAAAATTTTTTAAAAAGGGCCCCTAAGAAGCAAAAACCCACCACCCCTCAAAAAAAACACACCCTTTTACAAAACCCGGGAAACCAGGGGTTTTAGAACAGGTCGCCCCTTTTCCGGGTTGAATTTTGGAACCCACTAGACAAGGCCCCAAAATTTGCACTGAAACAAAAATGCGAGGGAAATTATATTTGCAGACTTTGCAAAACCCCTTTGCAAATTTTGGGGGGGACCTTGGTGTAATGTCCCAAAAAAATGCGTGCAAAAGGGAAAAAAAGGGAAAAGTCGGTCGTTTGGGACTATAATTTCCCCCTCTAACAAAAAAACAGAGAGTTCGTAAAACCAGAGTAAAGTCCGAGGCAGCTAGGGGTAAAAAGGGCCTTGTTCCCCAAGGCCCCTTTTCTAAACCCCCACTTGTTCCTAAAACCCCTTTCATGTCCGAATAGAAAAGGATTTTCACCACAGCCCCCGTCCCCTTTCCTCAAAAAGATGACACCCGAATCTGCTTGACAGTGTCTTCCTTTGGCACCCACTGCAAGACAAAAAGGCGGCCCATCACCAAATCTTTCAGTGGGCTGCAGAAAACAATTAAAGGGTTCAAAAAAAAGAAAATTTAAATTTTCTCAGATATGGTAAACAAAAAAAAAATTTAAAATCTTTATCAGAGTAAAAAACAAATTCGGCCAAAATTTTTAGGCGAAACCCCAAAGGGTCAAAGACCGGGAAAATCATTTTCAGGGGATCTCCCCTTAAAGGGACCAAACATTGTACAATGCATTTGCTAAGAATGAAAGGTTGGATAATGGGGAACCTTAAAAACTAGGAAGCCAACCCCATGATGACACCTTCGGGGTTCATTTTATTTTCTTGGGCGGGGAATTTGCTGAAACCCTAAACAGCACCTTTAAGGGCGGTAAAATTGCTGACCTAAAAAAAGTACAGAAAACCCTTCCCCGGCACCTTAATGGAGAAAAACACCTCAATTACTGGGAGCACTTGGGTTTCCCTAAATGTTTTCCCGGGAATCAGGCGGGAGAGAACATGATTTATACCCCGGGAAAATCCTAGGGGGACTTGTACCAAAATTGCCACAAAAAATCAAAAAACCCCCGAATGCAAAAAAATTGGCAGACAATGAAAACACCCCCCCAAATTAAAAAGCAGGGGTGTCACTAGAAACGTTAAGGGACCTTTAAATAAGTGTCAGGGGCCCGAGACTTTTCAACAACCCCCCGGGCTTTAAAAAAAGGGGGGTTTAACCAACAACCCCGGGCCCGTCTTAAATCTGGAAATGGACAATTCCCAAAAAGTCGGTTCCTGACCAGCCGGCTGTGGCCTTAAGTTTTTTTCCGGGGCACCAGCAAAACTTTTGGTTGATCGGGCTCTGTTTCCACCAGGGGGCCTGGCCCAAAAGACTGCCCCCGGGGGGGTGTTACCCCCGGAACCTCTCGGTAAACTCCAGGAAAAACCCCGGGTTTGGCTGAAAGTTTTTTTTCTACTGGGCAAAATAAACCACATAGCCCCTTTTTCTTTCTATGTGGGCCCAAACCAGCTTTTTTCACTAGATTTGGGGGCGCAGAATTTGGGCATTCTAGTACAGGGGAACCCCAGCCTTCAATTAACCCGTTCCGGGAAGCTAATTGTAGGGCCCAAAAATTTTTGGGGGGGGAAAATTTAATTTTCCCATAAAAATTTTTGGGAAATAAAATTTTAATCTGTTCCTAAAACCCCCAAAGTATAAAAAAAAAAATTCCCAATTTGAAATAAAATTTTTTTAATACACAATACTGAAGAAGACATGCACAGTTATTTCTGTACTAAAAGAATACTGCGTTTAAACCTTTAACGAAGATCTGGGGGAGGGTTGATGGGATGGGGGGGGGGAATTTTTATTGTTTAGTAGGGGAATCCCCTTCCATAAGGACTTGGGTAGCAAGCCCTTTTTCCAAAATTACTTCATTCTTCTTTTAAAGCCACTAGGAAAAAGCTTGAAAAGTCAAGGACCCCAATCCCCACAACATATCTGTCCCAAAGAGCTCAGAACCCTCGTTCCTTTATGTTTTTTCTAAAGTGGGGTTTTACAACTTTTCATTGTAATAGTCACCCGCCAGCTTGCAATAGTCTGTGAGGGTGATTTTCTTCCATAAAGGTTTGCACTTCAACTTTACTTTTCCACATTTCCTTTAAACTTTTTAAGTAAAAACTTCTTCAATTTTTTTTTCCCCCCCTCTGAAGGGATTTCCCCCAGTTGGTCTCTTTTCTGTTTTAAATGATTTAGCAGCTCAAACATGGTTAGTTCTTAAATTTTCCTCCCCCCACCAAATCTCCACATCCCCCCCAGTAAAACCCCCAACCCCAAATGCATCCCCAATGCCACATTTATTCCTCAATGGCATACTTTTCAGGGTTTTGTCCCCAAAACCCTTTTTTCTACACTTTCTGGCCACAGTTTTTCCAAGCAGAGTTCAAGGTCCTCTTGTCATCCCCTTTTAAAACCTTTGGGTATAAAAGGGTTTTCACATCGAGGATACTAAAGTGATCTTTCCCCAAAAATTTTAGAGTCAATTGGGGTGTCTGAGGTTCCCTTCAAGGCACCTTGAAACATAGCTTTTGTGTAGAGTTTTTTGAATTTTCCCCCGGGGGGGAAAAAGACCCTTTTGGTTTCCCTGGGCTGCAGGGGAGGGGTGGTATTAGGAGGCAAAAAATTTATTTTAATGAAGCTCTTGTCCCCCAAAAATCCTCTGCCAATCCCGAAGGGATGACCAGGAGCATTGTGTAATAACCCCGGGGGCATTATGGTCCAATTTATTTTCCATTAGGTAATTTTTAAAATTGGGGGGAAAAGCATGGCAAAAGTCATTGAAAAAATCCCTGGGGACTGATGCCTTACTGTTTTGGCCCCCCACGCACTCACAAATTAGGGCCCTTTTGGGGCATTGTTTTTTGGAAATTGCATTAGCACAATCAAAAGAAAACCCTTTTCTTTTTAAAAGGGTTATGTCCCCAGTGCTTTTTTTCCCCCTTTATAAAAATAAACCTGCTTTGGGAATTTTTTTCCAAAAAAAAGGCCCTTTTGGTTTCCCCAAAAAACACTTGTTCAGGTTTTCAGTTCTTTACTGTCTATGTTCTCCTTGAATTCCTTCAAAATAAATTTTTAAACTGCTTTTTTGGGCCCGAACCCGGAAAACGTCGCCCTGCCTTATACACTGTGTATGCCCCCACGAATTTAAATCTTCAAAACCCAACCCTTTTCTGGCCCCAAGTTCACTCCCATCACCACTAGTTGTAGGGATTTTTTAATTAAATCGTCATTCAACTTCCTAGGCCCTTTTTTTCTATGATCACTTGAGAGATTTCTATTTCCCCCTATCTGTTTTTTTGTTTATCCACACCCAAAAAAAGTCCTCAACATCTTTTAAACACTTGAATCTCTTTTCGAAAACAAACTTTCACCTTTTGCAAGAAAAAGCTTCCCTTTTTGCCTGTTTGTTGGCCAGGATGTAGAGGAAAGGTTATTTGGGGTTTTTTTGTAAAACCTGGCCCCTCAGAGGCACGCACCCCCACCCTTTCATATACCCCCATCTCCCTTTTTCTTTCCATATTTAAATTTTTACCTTTTTTTCCCCCAGGGGTTTGGGATAGAAGCTTTCTTGGGGGCCCCTTTGGGGGACTCAAATTTTTCAGCAAAAAGCACTAAAAAAAACTGTGATTAATTTTAAAAGTACTGAATGTTTTGCTTAGATCACTGCCCCGGGGTGGCTTTTAAACCCCTGGCACGCATGGGGCAGCTGAAAGGCCCCATGTGGACGTGGCCCCAAAGAATCACGTGAGGGGGGGTTTTTTCACGGAAGCGAGGCAAAATTTTTTCATTCAAATGCATCGTATTGCAGATTTAACGTAACGCCCATGCCATCGTAAAGGGAGGGGCCCCTGTAAAAATCAAAAAACCCCAGGGGCCCTAAGCTTTTACTAGTATGTCGAAACCCTGAAAGGGTTAAGTGACAATTTTATTTTGTGGGAAACTTGTGGGGGAAAGAGAAAAAACTTTTTTTGGTTTTAGTATGTTGTGTTGGTAATTGTGGAATATTGTACTATACGATCATGGGTTTTTGTTTTTCAGATGTCATTTTGTGGAGGATCAAGGTTGTTTTTTCCAGACACTATATCTTCAGACTTCAAGAAAGGCAAACGAAAGTTCTTCTTTTGGATTTTTAACAGCTGTTAATAATTAAACAATTTTTTCATTTGATACTGTTAATTCCCATCTAAAAAATTCATGGGGAGTTAATTCTTTTGGGGGTTCCCCTTTTGTAGTTCTAGAATTTAAAACTGGGGTCCCCCCCTGCCCGTAAATACATCTTAACCAGCTTACTAGATAAGCTGGGTAGTAATTTTTGGGGCCCAAATATGAGAGAATAAACTATGTGGAAAATGTGCCTATATTTAAAAAATCTTGCAGAAGGCAAATGCATAATTAGAAAAGAAGTGCAACTGTGTTTTTTGGGTTAAAAAGAAAATTTTTGGGGTTTTTTTTCATATGTTTTTTTTAGTAGCATTTACTGTTTCTTGGTCTCATTTGATAGAATAGAAGAAGTATTACAGAAATGACTTTGATGGATTTTAGTACTGAAAAAAGCTTGAAATTGAGTTCGGAGTAGTAGAAATGTTCTGTTTTTGCTAATATTAGAGGGTAAACAACCACATCACGTGTGCAATACACATCAGCTGGTGGGTTTAATGTGTGCTGCTGAATGCACTGATATTATTTATACAATTATTACAATATTGAATAACAGTAACTTTTCTATTTTTTGGTGTGCATAAAAATAATTTTTGAATAAAAAATCAAAATGAAATTCATCTGTAAAGCCTACAAATGTAATTAATAAGTAGCAGAAATGTTAGTTTAGTGCCAGGTTGCCTACATTGATTATTCTGGATCCTATTTTGAAATTGGAATGGTTTGAATTTTGTGTGAAATTGGCCATATTACCACTTTCCAATCACTTTATTGGGAAGTTGAAATAGTTGAATTGGGCAATTTTATGTGCTTAATAGATAATATAGAACACATACTAGTGAAACAGCTAAGAATTTGGTCTTATGGAACTATGTAATTGGCGAAAAACATGACTCAAAATGGGCAAAATTGCCAATACATAAATATTTCTGACACAGCAAAATTTACAAGAGTATAACTTCATCATTTCTTTATAAAATTATTTTATTTTATTACATTCAGAAAAAGATTATGATTTCCTAAGAAAAAATAATGTTTTTTAAAAAAGACCCTGTGTGGAATTTTCAGACTGGGGATTTGAACCCTCAAAGGGCCAATAAAAGAATACAGAGAAATTTGTTTAAACACAAAAGCAGATAATAATAGTAATAATAATAATAATAATAATAATAATAATAATAATAATAATAATAATAATAATAATGTTGAGTGTGTCTGCAGTGTTCTAGTTCATATATTAATGTTTTAACGCAAAATAAAAATTATGATAGTGTTTTAACAAACAATGTGAACTTTATTAGTGCTCTTAAGTAGAAAAAGTTTTGCCTAAATAAATCTTAACATGGGAATATGTTCATAAGGAAAACCATGTGTTCAGTGTCCAAAATATTTTAAAAAATCATGAAATAGAGATGTGAGTATATAAGGAAGATTAACTATACCACTGTTGTATGACTAAAATATTTTAAATGAAATACTTTCATTTAAAAAAATATGGAAAAACATAAAGAACACAAATCATATCAATGTTCTGAGTGTCTGAAATGTTTTAGTAAAAATTATTTTGTGAAACATATGAGAGTACATACAGGAGATAAACCATATCAATGTTCTGAGTGTCTGAAATGTTTTAGTGATAAAAGTAATCTTGAGAAACATGTGAGAGTACATACAGGAGATAAACCATATCAATGTTCTGAGTGTCTGAAATGTTTTAGGGATAAAAGTAATCTTGAGAAACATGTGAGAGTACATACTGGAGATAAACCATATCAATGTGTTGAGTGTCTGAAATGTTTTATTGTAAAAGGCAGTCTTGTGACACACATGAGAGTACATATAGGAGATAAACCATATCAATGTTCTGAGTGTCTGAAATGTTTTAGTGAAAAAAGCACTCTTGTGAAACATATGAGAGTTCATACAGGAGATAAATCATATCAATGTTCTGAGTGTCTGAAATGTTTTAATCAAAAAGGCAATCTTGTGACCCATATGAGAGTACATACAGGAGATAAACCATATCAATGTGTTGAGTGTCTGAAATGTTTTATTGCAAAAGGCAGTCTTGTGACACACATGAGAGTACATACAGGAGATAAACCATATCAATGTTCTGAGTGTCCGAAATGTTTTAGTGTAAAAAGCACTCTTGTGAAACATATGAGAGTACATACAGGACATAAATCATATCAATGTTCTGAGTGTCTAAAATGTTTCAGTGTAAAAGGCAGTCTTGTGACACACATGAGAGTACATACAGGAGATAAACCATATCAATGTTCTGAGTGTCTGAAATGTTTTAATCAAAAAGGCAATCTTGTGACCCATATGAGAGTACATACAGGAGATAAACCATATCAATGTTCTGAGTGTCTGAAATATTTTAGTGAAAAAAGCGCTCTTGTGAAACATATGAGAGTTCATACAGGAGATAAACCATATCAATGTTCTGAGTGTCTAAAATGTTTTAGTGTAAAAGGCAGTCTTGTGAGACACATGAGAGTACATACAGGAGATAAACCATATCAATGTTGTGAGTGTCTGAAATGTTTTAGTGTAAAAGGCAGTCTTGTGACACACATGAGAGTACATACCGGAGATAAAGCATATCAATGTTCTGAGTGTCTAAAATGTTTCAGTGTAAAAGGCAGTCTTGTGAGACACATGAGAGTACATACAGGAGATAAATCATATTAATGTTCTGAGTGTCTGAAATGTTTTAATAAAGAAAGCAGTCTTGTGACACCTATGAGAGTACATACAGGAGATAAATCATATTAATGTTCTGAGTGTCTGAAATGTTTTAATAAAGAAAGCAGTCTTGTGACACCTATGAGAGTATATACAGGAGATAAATCATATCAGTGTTCTGAGTGTCTGAAATGTTTTAATCAAAAAAACCATCTTGTGAAACATACACAAGTTCATTCAAGAGATAAAGCATGTTTGTGTTTAATGTTTCAGGAATATTTTAGTTACAAACTCATCAGAATACAGTGGACCCTCAACCAGCGATATTAATCTATTCCTGAGAGCTCATCGTTAATTGAAATAATCGTTAGTCAAGTTAATTTTCCCAATAAGAAATAATGGAAATCAAATTAATCCATGCAAGACACCCCAAAGTATTGAGAAAAAAAAATTTACGACATGAAATATTAATTTTAATACACACAAACTGAAGAAGACATGCACAGTTACATGACACTTACCTTTATTGAAGATCTGGTGATGATTGGTGGAATGGGAAGAGAGGAGAGTGTTGATCTTCTTAGTGTTTAGAAGGGGAATCCCCTTCCATTAGCACTTGAGGTAGCAAGTCTTTTTCTGGGGTTACTTCCCTTGTTCTTTTAATGCCACTAGGACCAGCTTCAGAGTCACTGGACTTCTGTCGCACAACATATCTGTCCATAGATACCTGTACCTCTCATTCCTTTATGACTTTCCTAAAGTGGTTCACAACATTGTAACCAGTCATAGAGAAAGTCCCTAGTGACCCATGCCTTACTGTTTGCCCTCCACAGCACACACAAATTAGCCTTGACAACATTGTTTTTCCTGAACACTCTGGGAGTTTCATAGTGATACACCAATAAAGGTTTCACTTTGCAATCACCACTAGCATTGGCACACATCAACAGAGTAAGCCTGTCTTTCATAGGCTTATGTCCTGGGAGTGCCTTTTCCTCCGGAGTAATGTACATCCTGCTTGGCATTTTCTTCCAAAACAGGCCTGTTTTGCCACAATTAAACACTTGTTCAGGTTTCAGTCTTTCATTGTCTATGTACCCCTTGAATTCCTGCACGTATTTTTCAGCCACTTTTTGGTCCGAACTGGCAGCTTCACCATGCCTTATCACACTATGAATGCCACTACACTTCTTAAATCTCTTAAACCAACCTTTGCTGGCCTTAAATTCACTCACATCACTAGTTGCTGGCATTTTTTTTAAATTAAATCATCATGCAACTTCCTAGCCTTTTCACATGATCGCTTGAGAGATGCTATCTCCTGCTATCTGTTTCTCGTTTATCCCCTCTTCAAGGGGGGCTCCTTGGCGTGGTGAAGAGGCTCTTGGTCTGAGGAATTAGACCTGTCGGTCTTCTTCCTCAGACCGAACCTAATTACCCCCCAATCTCCCCTCCCCTATCCCATCCTCCCCATCCTCCCCTTTTTCCTTTCCTCCTCCTCCTCCCCACCCCTCCCTTTTGCCCTTTCTCTTTTCAGCCTTTGGGATTTCTCCCACAGGCACGCTAGTTCCTAGGTAGGGGAAAGGATACTGGGTTCCATCCCATTCCGTTGAGGTTCTTGGCAGTGGCGTAGTTTGCCGTGGAATCTGGATCGCCTGGGGATGTCCCGATCCCTCTCCGGTATCCCGGAGTAGCTTTGGGTGTCTTTCGGGCGACGGGTGTATCTCTGGAAGCCACCTTTCGGATTCCGGGGGTGGTGGCCGAAGGAGGTATGCTTTGTGGTGGATATCCGGCTGCCCTCTCTTTTGTCCACCGAGGTAGCTCGGCAGATGTGAGGTTGCTATCCCGGATTGTTAGTTTACTAGCATGATGGGTAGGGTATGGCACGGGTTCCATGCTGCATCTGCGCTACTTGCGGTGCTGAGGTCCTCTTAGGTGCCGAGGGAGATTTCTGGCCCTTTCATTCCTCCTAGGAGCTATCCCTCCCCGGTCCCCCCTTTTTTTATTCTTTTTTTTATTTTTATTTTCTTTTCTTCTTTCTTTTTTTTTTCTTAAAAACTAAAAGAAAGAAGTAACCTAACCATGGCAGCCCTAGTCCATGAACCTACTACCCTCGGGCCCCTTCTTGATACCGCACCCCGTTCTGACCCCGCCTCATCTTTGGACCACTCTTCAGACACTCCTCATGCCTCTGTACCTCTTGCCAGTGGTGTTTCCTCACCCGCTTCAGGTACTGAGGCCTCGACTGACTCCTTCGATTTATTGGACCTTTGCTCTCCTCTGACTATGCTTCCGGCCTCTCCCTCTACGGTGCGGCAATTTTCAAATCACCGACCTGTTCCACGTCGGACCAACTCTGGTCCCATGCCTAAACACCACCGACAATTACCTGCTGATGATACTTCTCCACCTTCTCGTTCTTCTCAGAAACGATCGACACGTCCTTCACTACCTTTCCACGCTCAGTTTCAGACTGAACAATGGACTAATTCTTCACTTTACGACCATCTCCTCTACTGCCTATCTTTCTGACCACAGTATTGGCAAGGCACTCCTACGCCATGTTGGTAAAGATATTTCTTTTCATGCTCTTAAGAGTGGTACGTGCATCATTACCGTACAGAATGCTACCCAGGTTCATGAGCTCTCTCGTCTTTCCCATATCGATACTGTTCCTGTCACTCTTGAAAAACATCATTCCCTCAATTCTTGTAGTGGTGCCGTCATTCTGCCCCATACCATAGTTCAACAAAATTTCCAGACATGTGGCACTGACATTCTTGAACAGCTGGAACTCCAAGATCTCCCAATCCTCAAGGTAGACACTTACGTTCTTCCTGCCCACGGGCAGAGACGATGCCGTAGCAATGTGGCTCGTATAACTTTTGACAGCCGAGAACTCCCATCCTCAGTTTATATAGCAGGACATCGGTTACAAGTTCGAAAGCATCGGTTACAAGTTCGAAAGGTGATCCCTACACCACAACAGTGTAGAAATTGCTGGCGATTTGGCCATCCAGTGAAATATTGCAGATCTATCGCCGAATGCCCAGTCTGTGGTGCCGATGACCATTCTAATACGTCTTGCAATCGATCTCCCTCTTGCCTTAACTGTCATGAGGCTCACCCTTTGTACTCTCGCCATTGTCAAGTCTATTTAAATGAGCGGGAAATCCGTTACCTCAAAGAGACAGAAAGTCTCCCTTATGCCATGGCAGTTTCTCATCTCCGCCTCCAAGGGAGACTCCCACGTGTTTCTCATTCCCGTGTTTCAAAACACCCCCCCACTTCTGGTTTTCCCATCTTCTAAACCCACCTCTGTGGTTACCTCTCCCATAGTCTTTTCCTGTATCTAATCCTTTTGCTGTCCTCGGCTCAGACGTCCCTACTTCAATGCCTCAGTCTGATCTCGCTTTTCGTGTTCTCTCTCACAAGCTCAGTATCGACGAGACCTAGTACGAACACCTCCTCCAATCGTCCCTCTACTTCTCAAAAGTCAAAAAAAGGTCCGTTAACACTCCTACCCATCTTCCACCTCTCATTTTACCCTCCCTGTCTCGTCCCTGGTTCTCCCCCTCTCACTGGCTCATTACAAGTGTAGAGGTTCACCCTCCTCCTCGTATGTACCTTCCCCCCCTGTTCCTCCCCAAATTTCTTCCTCTTCTGCCACCTCCCAGGTTTCCCGCCCCTTTTGTCCCTGCCACGCTTCTCCAGTTCCCCACCCTTTCGCCCCCCCCCCTTGGTACAGTCCAATACAGTTCCAATCTTTACTCATCCTCCCCCTTCCATTTCCAATATTGTCTCCCATACGACATCTCTGAATTCCGAAACACTTGAAGCAATCTCTGAATATATTGCAGAGACCAAACCTCAATGGACACTGATCCACCTTCCGCTCTTTCTCTCTCCTCTGCTCCATTGCGCAACTCCTTTCTTCACAGTGCACCATTCCTTTGGGTGCTTGAAAAGTTTTCCACTGCCTCGCATGTGGACTTTTCTAACCCCTCTAGTCCGTAGGACCTTACCTGCGGATTTCAAGTATCTTTATCATTGCCCAAACAAGGCCTATTTACAGTGGGGAAAATACGCGGCTCAGGGTAATCGGGGGTGAGCTTCAGATGTTGCTCTCCCAGTTTGCCCCTGTTGGTGTTTGCTTACAGGAACCAAAATTACACTCTGCTGTTATTTCTCCCATCTCAGGCTATAATTTATTGTATTCTTCAGATCCTTTTCCTGATGGGACCTTTATGAAAGTGCCCTTCTTCTACGCACTGATATTCTGTACCATCAGCTATTTGTTCATACTTCGCTGCATTACACAGCAGCCCGTATCCACTTACTAGGTGGTATCGCTCTGTTCTTTATATCTCTCTCCTTCTCGGGCATTATCTATTCTGGATATTGCCTTTCTTGTTTCGTCATTACCGCCACCGATTCTGTTACATGGTGATTTTAATGCCTACCATTTCCTCTGGGGGGGTCTCACTGTGATTCCTGTGGAATTCAGTTAGAGGCTTTTCTTGCCACACCACCCCCTCCATGTTTTAAAATACAGGTACTCACACCCATTTTGATCCTCGGACTCATACTCTCCTCTTGCATCGATCTCTCAGTTTGCTCTTCCTCTGCCGCATTAGACTTCACTTGGTCTGTTCTCCCGGACTTACATGACAGTGATCATTTCCCAATCATTCTTACTTCCCCTTCATATTTGCCACCTCTTCGCACCCCCACGCTGGCAATTTGATCGGGCAAATTGGAACCTTTTACTCAACACTAACTGTTTTTTAAAGAGGCTCCTTCTTCGTCCTCCATCGATGAGCCTTTACACCTCTTCTCGTCCTCCGTTTTCACCGCAGCTTCTCATTCTATACCCCAAACTTCGGGCAGGCATTCTCAGAAATGCGTGCCTTGGTGGTCTCCTGCTTGTGCTCGTGCAGTACGTTTGAAACGCGCTGCATGGGGCACGTACTGGTACAATAGAATGACAGAGAGACTCCTTGATTTTAAACAGAAGCGTGCGATCGCTCGCCGTGTCATCCGTGACGCTAAACACACTTGCTGGCGAGATTATGTCTCCACCATCACCTCTGCTTCCTCTATGAGTGCAGTCTGGAAAAAAGTACGAAAACTGAGTGGTAAATATTCTCCTGACCCGGCTCCTGTTCTGCGGGTTGCCGGTGTTGATATAGCAAACCCACTAGATGTTGCCAATGAAATTGGCAATCATCTGGTCCATATTTTTCAGGGACTCCATCTATGCCCCTCATTTCTTTCCTCAAAGTCTGTCAGAGAGTTAGCACCCTTGGACTTTTCTTCTCTCAGTGAAGAACAGTATAATGTGCCTTTTACACTTCAAGAACTGGAGGCAACACTCTCAACTTGTCGATCATCGGCAGCTGGGCCCGACGACATTCATATTCGTATGCTACAACATTTACATCAGTCAGCCCTTGCAGTCCTATTACGCCTTTACAATCTTATTTGGTCACAAGGAGTTCTTCCACAGATTTGGAAATCTGCCATTGTTCTCCCTTTCCGCAAACCAGGCAATACGGGACATGAAACCTCCCACTATCGTCCCATTGCTCTTACCAGTGCAGTTTGCAAAGTAATAGAATGCCTAGTAAATAGACGTTTAGTGTGGTATTTAGAGACACACAACAATCTCTCCACTTGTCAATATGGCTTTCGTAAGGGACGTTCTACCATAGACCCCTCACTACGCTTGGATACGTATGTTCGTAATGCCTTTGCGAATAACCACTCAGTTATTGCCATATTTTTTGACCTTGAGAAGGCATATGACACAACTTGGAGGTATAATATTTTAGCCCAAGCCCACTTCTTAGGCCTTCGAGGCAATCTCCCATCCTTCCTTAAGAACTTTTTAACTGACAGGCATTTCCGTGTTCGGGTTAATAATGTGCTCTCCCCGGACTTTATCCAAGCTGAAGGTGTCCCCCAGGGATGTGTTCTGAGCACAACACTTTTTCTCCTTGCTATTAATGATTTGGCCTCTAGTCTTCCATCAAATATTTGGTCATCACTCTCTATGTTGATGACTTCGCTATTGCCTGTGCAGGCGCTGACTGTCACCTCATTACAGTTTTCTCTCCAACATGCAGTCGACCGTTTTTCCCAAATTTGGGGCCAAACCACACATGGGTTTAAATTTTCCAGCACTAAAACCCACCAATTACTTTCACTGGGCGCTCTTCATCTCCGATCACCCTTTTTGTACCTCTATGGGCTCCCGTATCCCTGAACGTGATACAGTCAAGTTTCTGGGCCTCCTCTTTGATGTAGGTTATCCTGGAAACCTCACATTACCTCTCTGAAGACATCTTGTCACAGCCAGCTGAAGTTTTTAAAAACCCTTGCTCATCTTTCTTTGGGGAGCTGATCGTCGAACCCTCCTTCCCCCTACATTCCACCCTTTTTTTATCGAAACTTGATTATGGTGACCAGATCTATTCAACGGCATCTCCTGCTACTCTCTCTACCCTTTAACCCCATTCATCCCCAAAGGGATTACGTTTATGCCTTGGTGTTTTTGCTCTTCCCCTGTCGAGAGCCTCTATGCAGAAGTGAACGTTCCATCCTAATCCGATCGCCGTGATGTCCATTGCCTGCGCTACTTTTGTACGCTCTCATGATGTCCGCAACCCTTTCCCATTTATAGAATGGTCACTGATATTAGTAGACATTCTTTATTTGTTCGCCCCCCCTGTTTAACTCCGTCCCTTCTCTCTTCGCCTTCATTCGCTCTTGTCTTCTCTTCAACTACCCCCTTTTCTATGTACATGAACATCTCACTTTTCCCTACCCCCCTGGGAAGTTCCAGCTGTTCGAGTCTGTTCTTTCTCCCTCCCTTGCTCGAAAGCCCAACTGTCTACGGTCGCTTCCCGCTCTCTTTTTCTTGACCACTTTCACTCTCATTTCTCATGCCATTTGCTGTGTACCAAGATGGCTCTAAGTCTTCTGACGGCGTAGGATTCGCACAGTGTTTTCGGACAGCGTCGTACAAGGGCTTTTATATCTTCGGCTAGTATTTTTACTGCTGAATTATATGCCATCCATACAGCATTTATTCGTATTGCATCTATGCCTGTGTCATCATTTGTGGTTGTCTCAGACTCCCTTAGTGCTTTACAGGCTATACAAAATTTGATTTCACCTCACCCCTTAGTCCTCCGTATCCAACTTTGGCTATGCCGCATCTTTACCAAGCATAAAAATATTGTTTTTTGTTGGGTCCCTGGTCTTTTTGACGTACAGGGGAATGAACAGGCAGCCACTGCTGCGCAGTCAGCAGTACACACCTACCAGTTTCTTATAGAGGTATTCCTTTACGGACTATTTTGCTGCAATATCTTCCACCTTCACACCCGTTGGCAACAACGTTGGTCTACTATGCTCGGCAAC